GAAAGTTATGATGAAAGATTAGTCTCTTCTACAATTACATGACTGGAATTGTTCTTTTGAGCAAGGACCTCATGCTGACCTCAAAGGAGAGACATATAGTCCTAGGCTCTCTCTGACCTCAAGTCTTTTTATCTTTCTCCCTTTGATCAGCCACAGCATCTTCAAAATAGAGGGAGATGTAATTTGATGTAATTAAAAGGTAAATGTAAAGGTGCTTTCTTTCTTTTTTTTATTGATTTCAAAGAAGAAGGGAGAGGGAGAGGGAGATAGAAACATCAATGATGAGAGAGCATCGTTGATCTACTGCCTCCTGCACTGCCCCCACTGGGGCTCGAGCCCGCATCCCAGGCATGTGCCCTTGACCAGAATCGAACCTGGGACACGTAAGTCTGCAGGCCGATGCTTTATCCACTGAGCCAAACCAGCTAGGGCTGAAGGTGTTTTTTAGTCCATAAGCATCTGGTGGTGAGTTGTATAACAAAACTCTAAAAAAATAATTCATCCAGACTCCTAAGGTTTATTGAATAGGCATTCCACCTTTATTTCATTTTACCATTTAAACATATATTGATTCATGCCTGCCATATGCAAGGTTTTGGTCGTAGTTTTTTTTTTTAAATTAATATCCAGTAAAATTAACTTTTTTTAGTGTATAGGTCTAGAACAGTGGTCAGCAAACTCATTAGTCAACAGAGCCAAATATCAACAGTACAATGATTGAAATTTCTTTTGAGAGCCAAATTTTTAAACTTAAACTATATAGGTAGGTACATTGTTATTAACTTAATTAGGGTAGTCCTAAGGCTTAGGAAGAGCCACACTCAAGGGGCCAAAGAGCCGCATGTGGCTCGTGATCCGCAGTTTGCCGACCACGGGGCTAGAATATTAATATATGTACAGGGGTGGCCAAAAGTAGGTTGTTTGTGTGGAAAAAGACATGCAGGTTATGATGATTACAATAGCTTTATTAACTCAAAAGAATGGCACAATGCATCTGTAAACCTGCTTTTGCCCAGTCGGCGATTAGTTGGTTGAGTGTTGCTCCATACACCAGAAAAAATTTCCTGGGGTGGGGGTGGGGGGGTTGATTCCTCATTGGGTCACATACTTAGGTTTCGGGTTTGAGCCTTGGTCAGTGGGGGGCAAGTAAGGGGGGCAGCTGATTGAATTTTCTCTCTTCCCCTCTTCCTCTCTCTCTAAAAAAAAAATCAGTGAAATATACTTGGGTGAGGATTTAAAAAAACCACATCTACTTTTGCCCACCCCTGTATACTAGGTTAATAATGCGGATTTTTTCAATAGATGGAGTTACACATATGTTGATATATATGCGATTTGATATGTATGCTATTTTGTTGTATTGCTCCTTCAGATTACCACTTGTTCTAATCGATGGCACATGCACTTTCTGAGCAGCACTTCAAAACGTACGAAGTGGAAAATTGGGTCTCTGGATGGTCTGCCTCAAAACAAGAAAAGTTCTATTGGGACGATATCCACAAATTACCTGAAAGATGGGGGAAATGTGTAGCTAGCGATGGACATTACTTTGAATAAAGCACTTTTGATGTTTCTCTTGAAATTATCGTGTTTTCTTTGATTACAAAATCCGCATTATTACGGTTAGTAATGCGGATTAATTGTTAACTGGTTAATAATGTGGATTAGCTGTTAACCAGTTAAAAATGTGGATTAATTATTAACTGGTTAATAATACAGATTAACTATTAACTGGTTAATAATGTGGGTTTGGTAATCCAAAGAAAACACTATAATTTCAAGAGAAACATCAAAAGTGTTTTATTCAGCCCTAACCAGTTTGGCTCAGTGGATAGAGCGTCAGCCTGCGGACTGAAGGGTCCCAGGTTCGATTCCAGTCAAGGGCATGTACCTTGGTTGAGGGCACATCCCCAGTAAGGGGGTGTGCAGGAGACAGCTGATGGATGTTTCTCTCTCATCGATGTTTCTAACTCTCTATCCCTATCCCTTCCTCTCTGTAAAAAAATCAATAAAAATATTTTAAAAAGTGCTTTATTCAAAGTAATGTCCATCGCTAGCTACACATTTCTCCCTTCTTTCAGGTAATTTGTGGATACCGTCCCAATAGAACTTTTCTTGTTTAGAGGCAGACCATTCAGAGACCCAATTTTCCACTTCTTCGTACGCTTTGAAGTGCTGCTCAGAAAGTGCGTGTGCCATCGATCAGAACAAGTGGTAATCTGAAGGAGCAATACAACAAAATAGCATACATATCAAATCGCATATATATCAACATATGTGTAACTCCATCTATTAAAAAAAATCTGCATTATTAACCGGTACACCTACTATATAGATTCATGTAACCACTGCCTCAGTCAGGGTATAGAACAGTTTCATCACTCCCTCCCTGCTCCCCCCACCCACACTTCCCTAAACTCCCTTGTACTATCCTCCCATCCCTAATTCCTAAGAACTGTGATCTATTCACCCTCCCTTTAGTTTTATCTTTTTGAGAATGTCTTATAAATGGAATCATACAATATATAATCTTTTGCTACTGACTGATTTGACTCAGCATAATACCTTTTTAAAAAAATATTTTTATTTCAGAGAGAAAGGGGGAGAGAGAAACATCAATGATGAGAGAGAGTTATCTATTAGCTGACTCCTGCACTCCCTCTATTGGGGACCAAGCCTGCAACCTGTGCATGTGCCCTGACCAGGAATCGAACCGTGACCTCCTGGTTCATAGGTCAATGCTCAACCACTGAGCAACACTGGCCGGGCCAGCATAATACCTTTAAGATAGTTTTCATCCAAGTTGTTGAATGTATCAATAGTCTACTCTTTTTTATTCCTTAGTTGTATTCTGTTGTATGGATTGTATCATATTGTTTATCCATTTGGGTTGTTTCTAGTTTTTGGTGATTATAAATAGTGCTGCTGTAAATACTTGTGTATAGGTTTTGTATGAACATAAATTTTCATTTCTCTAGGGTAAATACCCAGAAGGGGAATTGCTGGGTCATATGGTAAGTTTATGTTTAACTTTATAAGAAATTGCCAAACTTTTTCAGAGTGGCTGTACCATTTTGCATTCCCACAAGTGGTGTATGAGAGTTTTAGCTGCTTTGCATCTTTGCTAGCACTTGGGATTGTCAGTATTTTTTATTTTAGCCATCCTAATAGGTATAAGGTATTACTTTATTACAGTTTTAATCTGCATTTCCCTAGTGCAGTGGTTGGCAAACTGCAGCTGGCGAGCCACATGCGGCTCTGTGGCCCCTTGAGTTGTGGCTCTTCCACAAAATACCACGTGCAGGAGCGCTTTTACAGTGCTATTGAAACTTTGTGGCCCATGCACAGAAGTCGGTATTTTGTGGAAGAGCCACACTCAAGGGGCCGAAGAGCCACACTCAAGGGGCCAAAGAGCCACATGTGGCTCGCAAGCCGCAGTTTGCCGACCACTGCCCTAGTGCATGCCTCTGTTCTTGATGATTTTATCTGTTGAAATCACACAAAAAGTAATCATCAGAAGAATGGCCATCAGAATGATATATCTAAAATTTAACATTCTATGGAAGACTTTGTGAATATATTTAAAAACAGTTTGTACTAATGAATGTTCATGGGTTTTCAATGAAGTGTGAGGTACTCTGAAACCTATCTACAAAGTTTCAAGTAAACCCTGTGACATTGAGAATGAAGAGTGACTTATGAGTATTTTTTTTTCCTGGTGGCCTTTGCTCTTATGTAGAACACTTGTTGCTTTTAATAAATTGAGAAGGTAAGCAAATGGAAAAGAAAAATATCTGGTTATCCTATAATTTTAAAAAATAATGCAAATTAAGAGAGAAACACTCATGATCATAATCATCATGATCAGCTATTTACTGAATGCCTATTCCTGGTAGCATAGTTCAGTGGTATGATTTTGAATAACTTGCTTATTCAGAGAAAGAATTTAGATAAGGAAAGGAGGGCATTCTTTGAGTAAGACATTTGTTTGGCCCCCTTCTACTTCTCCCTCCTTCATAAATTATCCCAAGCAGCAGTCTGTATTATAAGAAGCAAAGCAAATGATTGCTAAATAAATGTTTACTGTTTATTTTCGTTGGTTAGTAGCTTGAGTTAATATGGAAAAGTTGTGTTTGTTTTTTTTACACTTTGAACATGTAATCCTGATCATTGGTATGTTACTTCCTTTTTATGAAGCTGGAATGTAATTTTCTTAGTTTTAATGGCTGTAGAGGTTTATAGTTATTGAATCTTTGTTGTTAGGCATGCCAGTACTTTTTTTGTTATCAAATTTTCAGTTAGAAAATAGCCTCCCAATTATAACTTGTTTTGCTGGGAATTGAGACAATGTCTAGTAATATATTGCTATAGAAATAGACTGTCAAGTGATGACTCAGATTTAGTGTTCAGTGTAATTTAGAAAAGGTGACTTAAGTAGAAGAACATTGGTATATCTGTTTTTCAAATTGCACTTAATTGTAATGACAGCTTATAAGATCTACATCATTTTCCTTTGGATTATGTTGAACTTTACAAATTTTATATTATATGAATTAAAAATGGACAGTTTAAAAGTTAGTCAAATGAATTAATCAAAAAGAATCCTGCCTTATCAAATCATGCTTCTAAAGATTTTTCACACCCTCCAGTCATATCCAGGTATGGCATTTTGAAAATAAAAATGATGGCATGAGGTTTTATCAGAGTAGAGAAACTATTTAGATTTGTCATTTTTTTATTATATGGTAGTCATATGGATATAGTCCTTTTAGCTAACACATTCCAACTGCATTAAAAAGTATTTCTTAAGTATTCTTAAATGTGTTTTACCAGTATCTTGTGGAAAAATACAATCTTTTGAAAGCATTCATGTTAAAAAGAATTAGAAATGATGTTTATCTCATTTGGACCTGTTTCTCTTTTAATGTATCACTGAAGTGTAGGTATACTATATAAGAATTCATACTGTATGATCAACTGAGACTTTGATTTAAATGTAAGTTGTACATGGAAGCCTGTATAAGATACTATATGTTTTTCCCCCCCAAAGAAGCTTCTTTAAATGGTTCTGTTAAGTATAAGAATGTTCTGATGATTATCTTTTTAATTAAAATGAGAAATCTTTGTTTAAAGTGGCATTCTTTTTTTTACGGCCTGTTACAGTCTCTGTAACAGTCATTTCTTAAGTCTGAACGTTTTATTTCCAGGAATCCATTTATATAAAACTATGTTTAGACTTAATTAAGGAACGGTTCTTACAAAGCTTGTAAATAGCCAGGAAAAAAGGGACCGAAAATAAAACTGACATTCACATTTAGCAAAATGATTGTTACAAGGTATGTAATAAGCTATAAAAATACAATAAATCCCTTTTTATAAGAGTTCATATTTTCTGATCCTTGTTTTCAAGGCTATTTAAGAAAAATACCAAAGCTCTGCAAAGTGACATCTGTTTTGCTGAATAGACTAGTGATAACTTCTTTTGTCTACAAATGACAGTACAGGAGTTCTACCTGTTTCCTTAGTGTGTTTTCTTTGAAATACCTTGTAATTATTTAGATTGGAATGTAAATTTCACATTGTGCCATTGTGAAAACAAGACACCTGATTCTCTTTCCACTTACACTGCTTTCTAAAAGTCACAAAGCATTGGTTAAGTTTGCTTAACTGCTCGGAGTCCAATTTTTCTCATCTGGAAAGTGGAGTTAATCCTCTTCCTACTTTAAAGAGTTTGTGAGGACGAAGTGAAATTATAAATAGTGAAAATATTTTGGAAATTATATAGGACTGTAAACATCAAAGTTGTTTTTTTTTTAAATCTCTCTGACCTTGTGTGGTGGAACTAGTCATAATGATAAAACAACAATAGTAAGAGCAGCAAACACATAACTCAATATGTACCAGGTAGGAGTCTAGGCACTCTATATATATGAACTCATTTGGTCCTCTCACCTTATTAGGTATATCATTACCTCTGATTTCCAAATGTGGAAACTGAAGCACACAGAGGTCAAGTTACTTTTGAAGAGGGATATGGATAATATCCATCTTTTTTCAGATCTACAGAAAAATTGTGAGAAAAGCATAATGGTTAGTCATATACTGCTCACCTGGATCGGCCAGATGTTAACATTTTTCCACATTTGATTTTTTTTCTCTATAGTTGTACTTTTCTTTCTATATCATTTGAGAGTTGCAGGCATCATGATATTTCACCTCTGCTTCAGCATGGGTTTCCTAAGAACAAAAGCATTGTCTTTTATAACCACAATGCAAGATCCCACTCAGGAAATGTAACAGTGATAATATTTTTATTTAATATGTAGTCGATATTTAAATTTTCCCAATTGTCACAGTAATATCCTTTACAGCTTTTTAAAAAAATGCACAACCCAATTACATGTTATATATATATATATTTAGATCTCTTTAGTCTCCTTTAATTTACACCAATATCCTAGTCTTTCTATTTATGAAATTGACATTTTTGAAGAGTCTAGGCTAGTTTTACCGAACATCTCTCATTTGGATTTGTATGATTGTTTCTCCATGATTAAATTCAGGTTAAAAAAATTTGGCAGGAATATATGCTATGGTTTCTTTCTCAGAGCATTATATCAGAAGATATATCATGTCAATTTGTTCCTTTATTGTTGATACTGTTTGATCGTTTTATTAAGGTTGTGTTCACCAGATTTCTCCATTGTAAAAGTATATTTATAATAAGTGTGCAGAGGAGTGAAACTTGGGAACTGTACATACCTTGTTTCCCAACATTGTTTGTCCCACTAGTTTTTGGCATGTTTTGGTGATGATTCTTCTGTAATAGTTTTAAAATCTGCCCATTTATTTTTAGGCAGTTCTAAATCATTTTTTCTTTCTCCATCGAAATGGTGACTATTTCTGATTTGGGGAAGACATGGTGTAGATTTTATTATTTTTCTTTTCTTTTTGATTTTGAGCTTAGACTAATTAAAATGGCTTTTTTTAACATTCTAATTTACAAGTTATATGCTTTATAATTTTTATCTTTAGTGGAAAATATTGTTAGAGCTGCCTAAAGAATTGAATTTAGGATATAAGGGTTTGGAGTAGTAAACACTGTGTCAGAAGTCCAGGGTGTGTGTGTGTGTGGCGGGGGGGCGGGGGGAAGTCTGTGTTTACCATTCAGTAAGCGTGGGTAAGGCCTGAAAATGTGCCTTCTGACTAGTTGCCAGATGATGCTGCTGGTTCTGGGACCACAGCTTGAGAACTACTGTGGCTTCTCGAAGTCTTTTAAGGCAATATCTTGCTTATGTTATTTGGGCCCTTTTCTATTTGTTTGCTTTCTCTGGTAGACACGAGTAGTGTGGATATAGTAGAGTGGAATAAGTTGATATTTGTATTAGTTGATTTTGATAAATGTAATAATTTGGGAATTGGCTAAATTACTGAATAGGATCTCATTAACCTGGCTAATCCAAAATTGACTGTTGTAATGAAAATAGCTATAGGCTATTTTAAAATTTACGGCATTTATATTTGTTGAATTTTCTTTACTTAATGAAATGCTGATTCCTTAGTTTTGACCAAATTGGATGTTCACAGTGGTCAGTTTGAGCTTTCACTACTTAAGTGATCTCTGCATACATCCCAGCAACTTGGTTCTGTTCAATCTGTGTAAGTAGTTAACCAAGTGGCACATTTGTTATGTCATAGAGATATTTTTGCTTCTACAGAATTTGGCCAGTTAGCCCTCCTCCTGCCTTGCTTCCCCCATTAGAAATACTATAAACATCAGAGAGAAAAGGATGACCTTAATATTTGCTTTCCAGATTAAATCACAGCCTTGAAGTTATTTCCTTCTGAATAAAAAGCTCAATTTCACGCCTTGATTAGTGCTAGTATGGGCAGATGGATATTTATTTTATGCAGCTAAACTGGTCTGTTTTTGCAAATTACTTGCCAGTCAGCAGAGCTATAATTTAGTTCTCATTAGTAAGTTTTGTCGATGTATTTTTAAAAAATATTTATG